TCTTACATATGCCCGAAGCTAAATTATAATATTACTATGTGTCACATTGTTGCAAATTTCTATAAGCATGCATATCAAAATTATGCATTTTAATAATGATATAAATAGATGTTATAGACAGGCTACTAAGTTGTAATTTTTAAAAATGCCACTTTTCAAGTGCCACTTTACAAAAATACCACACTTTGAAATCTTTACAAAAATGCCACTTTTTCAAAATTATTTTTTCTTTATATTATTTATATTTTAATTAATTATGTTCTATTAAGGTTTAGTTATGAGAGTTTAGGGGGGTTTAGAGGTCAAAACATTTTTTAGTGTTTAGAATTTTAAGATATAGAATTTAAAAATCTATAATTAGTGGTATTTTTACAAATAAACACCCTTAAATGGCATTTTTGTAAATGTGCACATAAAAAATTGCAATTTTTGCAATTTTTCCTACTTTTATAATCACTATTCAAATTCTGAACTTCTTAAGTTTGAGAAAAAAATGGTTAGTTAATATTCGAGGATGCTGTAAACAAAACTATACATATTTACAAACCGATATTTTTTATATAAGGAACTCATTAAAACTTGAATTTGATTGAAAATTTTCAAAAAATGCCACTTTTCAAGTGCCACTTTACAAAAATGCCACATTTTTGAAATCTTTACAAAAATACCACTTTTTTAAAATTATTTTTTCTTTATATTATTTATNTTTGNGTTANTTATGTNNTATTANGNTTTAGTTTTNAGNGTTTANNGNGTTTTAGGTGTCAAAACATTTTTTAGGATTTAGAATTTTAAGATATAGGCTTTATAAATCTATAATTAGTGACATTTTTGTAAATAGACACCCCTAAATGGCATTTTTGCAAATGTGCACACAAAAAGTGATATTTTTGTAATTGCCTCAATTTAATTTATTTTTTGCAGGAAGAATATGAATTATATCTTGGACGTCCTAAACAAAAAAACCGCTGAAAAGGTTGTAGTCTATATAAGAAGTTGTGAAGGTACACAAACACAATTTACTGGTTATGTAATTATGTTGATCCAAAATAAAGAATTTTTTTTTTTAACAAATAAAGAATTTGTTATGTCGTGTGATCGTGTCAG